TTAAAATAAATAAATGTATTTAATAATATGTATGTATATACGAAATAAATTTTTTATTATATTAATTAAAAAAAAAAGTTTTTGTAAGTTTAAAGTTTTTTTGTCAAGTTTAAATATATTAAAAAGTTTTCAAAAAATAATGATAAAATAAAAATTACTAAAGTATAAAAAAGTTTTTATAATTTAATTTTTCTAAGTTGATTTTTGTATATATATTAAAAAAAATATATATATAAAAATATCCTAACATATCTAACATATTTAATTACTAATTTTCATTAAATAAATATATATATTTATTCTCTCATTATTTTTTTTTTTAAAAAAAAGTTTTAACGCCAATTAAAATTCATTATTCTCTTTTTTATGTGTCAAAAACAAACTTAATAGAACAAGAAAGTACCAATAATTATGTAATTTCTGTAATTACTTAATAATAATTTACTCGTTACCATCTAGAAAAAGAAATTGAGATGTTAAAATATCTCTAATTAAAATTTGGCTTCATAGCTAGTTGTAAATTATCTCTCCGCTTTTACAATTGTAACCTTTGTTTTTTTCAATCTGTTCTTCATACTCCTTATCTATTTCTCATAAAAAAAATTTATTTTGTTAAACATGATGAATTTCATGAATTCTTTCATAGCGCTTAGAGGCATATCCCCAGCCTAGTATAGACCACCTGAAACAGCTTAACCCGCCATCACAAGCTCACTAGACCACATGGTACCATCACCTTCGGATAGAGGGCTCACTTCAACTATAGAGCTTGTAATAAAGAATTGTTCATTTTAAAGCATAATTAATTTTTATTTCCATATACCGATAAATTAAAAAAATGCGAGTGACTTCAACCGATTCAAGATCAATAATGTATTATTTTAGGGGGAGCGATTGGAATTTAGCTCCGCTTTGTTTTCCAATGCGATTTGTCGTCATTTTCCTTTCGTATTATTCGAAATAGATTTTTCACAGCTCTTTCAGTATCAAGTAATTTTCTCTTTATTTGACAAATATGTTAGTTTTTTGATAGTTTTATATTTATGATAATTTATTTACCAACTTACTTCGAGCAACTTGAGAATGAAATATGCATCTTCTAATATCACAATCATCAGTATTATCAGGTATCCTGCATCGATCTATCAATCCAAATCGATATATACCCAGATCCCATCCAATCCATAGCATAGAAGTACAATTCTAAACCTATAATAGAACCATTAGTAAGAATATTATTAAAATTTCGTACCAGGTCAAACTTACCAAATTGAAGTCAGCCGTATACTATAATTTCCAATCTTTTTTCATTCGATACATAATCACATTCTTTTAATAAACGATTTATACTATCACGCATTGTTATCATTAATTTTACTTTATCTAGGAACCTTTTCTTACAACAAGCGGTGATTCCAAATGGTCCCAGCCCATCTGAAACCTCTCCAAAAATAACCTCAAATTATTTGATGTTTTAGCACATTACTTTCATATCAACTTTTTTACCAATTCGTGCTTTTTTAAAAGGATCTGATTTTTCGTTACACGCATCACTGCTTGAAAGAGCCTGTATTTCTCCCCTGTGTGCGGAAAAATTGTTAGCATAAATATTCATTACCTTAATATAAAGGAAATGACGGACTTACCAAGAATGCATTATATGATCGGATGTGATCGTTCCATGAAATGACGGATATGAAGATATCATTTTTCAAGTGTTCTTCCATTATCATTCCTTGGAAGAAATGCACTTTGTTTTTCCTATACGATAATAACGTAATGCTAGATAATCAAGTAAGTGTATATAATCTCAAAACTTAACATACAAAAATTGTACATTGGTGTCAAAATGTTTTAGTTCTTTATTTTCACCGCTATTATCAAGTTTTTCGCAACTAATGTCAAATTAATCCTGAAAATTTTTTGGGACCGGTTATATTTCCATTTGATATGATCAGCGAAATCTTGAGATAAATTGTTTTCTGTAATTTCTTTACATCCATGACTTTCTCTGGCCAGATAGAGCACTCCCCAATATGCAGGACTATGAAATATTACTTGATCACCAATTAGTGAAATGAGCCCGATTAGCCCATATGGGACCAGTACGGTTCTTTCGTAACTGTCACGTGACTTTACGTTGTGAATCATTATTAAATTTGTAATGTTTTAAAATTAAGGCTCGAAACTATTCATGATTCATGATAAGGACTCATACACTCATATATCGAGACATTAAAAATAAAGAAATGTATTAGTAATCAATTCTTTATCATAAGAGACACCAAACTCACGTGAAAAATGCGAATTTTAGGGATTTATTTTGATATGTTTGGAATGCATTCAAAATGTCATCACATATAATTATAAGTTGATCCTATCGAGGATAGATAATGTGTTTACTGAATATAATGTATGCCACAGGCGAACATATTAAGACCTTACCTTATTATCACTCGCTTGCGGCAATTTTATTTCATCTTCAAGTGTATTTTCTCTATAATTGTATCTTCATTCGAATCATTAAATAGAAATACTAGTCCATCGTAACCTGGTAATTTGTCATTTCCTAGTTTCCTTTTAGATTATTTTTGCGTGTTGGACTTCGTTCCGTAAATTCATCATCACTATGCATTTGATTAGAGTCCTTCCAAAGAAACATAATAAATATGATGATTAAAAAGTTAGATTCTACTTAACAACCGTACATACGATATTAAAATTTTCCTGCATTGCATCCTCGTCATCTTCATTTTTCTTGCCTTGCTTTCCTAATGTACCGTTCAAGATTTCATTCGTCTGCATCATATAACCTTTTGCCATTGTGCTCTTTATTATTGACCCGCTAGAAATTGTTGCAAGCACGTGTGCATGGAAGTCCTGCTCATAGACGTCCCGTAAACTTTTAAATTCCTTAGAGCTGTTGAATTCAATTAGCTCTCTCACTAAGTTCACAATTGGCTCTGGGACATTTTTTTGCTTCGTAATGAATTTCAGGCTGGCGGTCCAATTGTCGTGAATTTCATTGAATTTTTTTGGTGCGTCTCCAGAGTGAATGATAGTAGAATAAAACGTTGAAATGACCAAATTGAGGCATCTGTGTTCATGAAGAAAGGATATTTCTTGCGTTTAAAGCGATATGTTCTGACGTTGGAATCAATTACTGGATTTGACATATTTAAAAATAAAAATTTTTTTTTTTGTCCGTAAGGACATTTATACTTTTATCGAAAAATTGATATTTGTTGTTGCATCACGTCTGATTAGGTTGATTGATAATCCAAATCGAGTTAAATTAAGTCGTACCAAAAATTTAAAAAATTTCTACTGTCGTTTAAAAATTTAGTTATATTTTTTGCACCCATTGCACCTCTAATCTGTCGACCGTTAGTTGCCACGCATCATCTCCTGGGTCTGTTGGGTAGTTATATCTGCTAAAAGATCTAGAGTGGTAATTCTCGGTGGGATTGCAGGTCTTACACGGGGAACGTTCCAAGCAATGGATTTAAAAAAAAAACTCTTTATAGTTTAATATAACTAAGTTGAAAATAAGGCGAATTGTGGATGACTTTATTATTGATTTGATCTAGGTGAACTTTTATTGATATTGCTTTGTTATTTTTATGATATATTACATAATTTCTTCTTTATAAGGACGGCTTGTTTATATAGAATCGTGTAGAGGGAGAAATAGAGCTTGCAACCACGCTTGCTGGGATCCTAGATTTTAAAAATAACGATCAATTATTTTGTTTTTTGTGACACGCAATCAAGATACGGTTCGTTGCTAAAACAGTTTTTTAGATTTTAGAACAAAGAAGTTATATATGTGCATTCTTTTTTATTTTTATTAATTTAATTTTTTTTTATTTAAAGGTTCAACAGGGTATTAGCCTTCACTTTAAGGAAGGAAGCTCGTGGTGTAAATCTACCTTATTGTGTCTGTGCCGACAAGGTTTGCGATAACTTATTTCAGTAGTGCTCCAATCAAAGATCAAAATTTATTTATTTATTTTTTTTTTATTGCATTTCATACATTATTGGCTCATGGTCTTTCGAACATGTTATCATTAGCTTCTAAAATAAGTTATTAGGAAAATTAAACTTTCAAGATTTTTAAGAATAATACCTTTTAATTAGTTTATTTGATTTGGGTAATTTTACAAATAGTCTCTTTGCACCAATTCTCTCCTAATCATCAAATCCGGTGGAGACAGTCGTGTGTCAAGATTGATGCTTGTTGATGCAACTGCTATTGTACTTTTTATCGGACCGTGTGTCGTCGGATATGGTAGTAGGCGCGCTTATTTTTCATTAAGGACTTGAATATGACGTCTGCATCTTATTCAAATTGTTGATATCCCATCACATTACAAGGTGCATTTGATGTTATTTGATGCTCATTTTCCAATAATATTTTTTATGATCAAATTTATGCCCGATTTCGTAAAATCTAATTCCTATCTCTTTTTTTTTAAAAAAAAAAAATAAATTGTCTAGAAGATCTGCACGACGCGTCTGTATCTGAAAGTCATATCTTTTTAAGTATATATTATATTTTAAAAGAGAATCAATAATACTAAAAATATATAAATAGGACAACATGGAGAATTATTAATACATTTTCAAAAAAAGATATATTATGCCAGAGTTTAACTGTGATTTTTATGTTGATACCATCATTTTATTCATTTGAAAGTGATCAGGGTTAAATAACTTTATTCGGATCGGATAATCTAAATATTATAAGCATACTTTATTGTTTATAAGGTTTGCTTATACTTCATAATTTAAAATTGAAATTCTATTTTTCGGCAACTAATTCCCATGAAATTAGCTTCAAAATAGATCAGATTAACTCAATTGTTCCAATCGTTTTACCCACCACAATAAAAACACCTAATAGAAAAAAAAAAAAGACTTACAAATCATAACACTTTAACGTATCGAAGAAATTATCACCAGAATCAAGATTACTAGTAACAAGAGTTACTTTCCTTTAAATAATTTATCACTACTATTGACACCTTTAAGTAATTATATTCTATTAAAACAAAGTAATAAAGTGAAAAGATAAAAGAGCGAAGGGATTAAATTTATAATAAATGAAGTAGAATAATGTTACTACAAATATTATAAATTTCGTGACTGCTGGAAATTTTTGGACATATTTGGAGTAATACATCATTAAAAAGCTCTTAAAGCCAGCATTTTCGGTTCACGTCACCCGGCCGGGTCACCTTTTAAATTTTAACCAAAAAAAGTTTTATATGTAAAAATTTTATCTCGTCACTTCGAAATTTAATGCTGTTGTATTCAATTCTTTCGTTTATGTGTTTATATATTTAAATGTAAGCAGAGGGTTTTTATTAGCAATTGAATATTTATGATGTAAATGTTATTCAATAAAATTAATTAATCAATGTTGCAAACTAAAGCTAATCACTAAACGTTAATTAATTAAAACTACGCAAAATAATAATCGGAAAAGTAAAAATAACAATATGGTATCCTAATAATATGGTCGTGAAATTGATCTTGAAAGACGAACCAAGGCGAAAAAATTATGATTTTTTCGGGTATTATAATAATTAATCACTCCTTAAAAACCCAACCAATCACATCGTTACGATTTACATATAAAATTTTTTTTATTCCCCGTTTAATGCGTAATCAGCTTTAAAATTCATTTATAGCGGTCCTTAACCAGTCCATAATAAGTAGCCCCATCAAAAACATGTCATAAATATTTATAATTAATTTATAAAAAGCGAAACTAGATTAGGTTGGTGTACGGCGACTTTGTCACCGCTAGTTATGGTTATTATACTGCTTTAGTTGTAATATATCCTTTATTAAGTTATCGCCGTGACGAGCCGAAGGGTCCATCCGAAGTGCCGCGCCCGCATTCGTCCGAAAGGGCGGAATCGGCCCTAACCTATAAAATCAAAAAGAATATTAATTAACAATAAAATAGACAATATAACATACCTGACTGCGCCTATGCAATAAGCCAAAGTGGTAAATCTACTGATCTACCCTATAAAATCAAAAATCGAAAAAAAATAAAAAATTTATTAATTAATTAATTAACTTATTATTAATTAAATCAATAATAAACAATAGGAATAGACAATACATAATAGTAGAAAAAAAACAATTTCATTATGCACCTGACTGTGCCGTCGCGGCAGATCCAAATCTTTTTTTTTTTGTTTGAAAAAAAAATAATATTTAAACAACCTTTATTCCTTGAGGTAGATTCCTCTCCTACCTACCTTTACCTTAACCTCCATCTCTTAGCGTTAGTGTCAGTGTTAGTGTCAGTGTTAGTGGTGTTAGTGTTAGTATTTGATAAAAATAAGATATATAAAAATGGCCGATCGTTGAAGTTACACGAATCGTCTAAAAACAAATCTTTTAGAGTGATACGAAAAGGAGTGGAGTCGGGTGTAGGTGATGAGTAGAGTATATCACGTGATATGATGTTGAGTATGGTTTGTCATACTGAATTGTGGTTAGGTTAGTAGTATTAAAAAATATACTCAACATCATAACACGTGATATACTCTACTCATCACCTCCACCCGACCACTCCTTTTCGTAATACCTATTTTTTTACCGTAACACAAATTCTCCTTTAATTATTTCCAGTACAACGGTAAAATCTACATACATACCTTGACAATATGTATTACTATTACGTTATATAAGTAATTTGATTAAAATAAATTTTTTTTTTTTTAAAAAAAAACTTATTTTTATAATTATAAAAATGTTTAATAATAATTCTAAAGGTAATAGTATAATAAAGAAACTAAAAATATTTTCAACAAGAAAAAAGAAGAAAGGAATGAAGCTTCGTATGACTAAAATTAGTTATCTTGACGGTTTGATAATATTCTAATATTTTTTTTTCATGAATTTATATTAGAGCCAGTTTCAGATGTTAAAAAAGCTTTCTCATTAGAAGGTAATATATAACGTTAATTATTTCAAAAATAGAAACAGATTTAATTGATAAAGGTAATACAACTAATATTAATTTCAAAATTAAATATTATAATAGAATCAGATTCAAATACTCCTACATTAAAAGATTAAATGATAATAAATTTATTATCTATTATTTATTTATATAATTATTTAATAATTAATATTTTTTTTTAAAAAAAAATTTAATAATAATAATACTTAGATTGTAAACCATTTAACTTTATTATATTTTAATTTAAATTTAATTAAT